ATAACATAATTTTTTACAAAGAAGGATTAGCCAGCCATTGGCACAGGCTGCCCAGGGAGGGGGTTGAGTCCCCATCCCTGGAGGTGTTTAAAGGCCGTTTTGATGTGGGGCTGGGGAGATGGTTTAGGGGTGAGCTGTGCAGAGCAGGGTTCATGGTTGCACTCAGTGATTCCAGGGGGCTTTTCTAACCTGCATGATTCTGTGATTCAGAACTGATGATACCACCCCGGGGTCTTTAAGTTTGCCAGCAGTGGCCCAGCAAGGTTTAGCTTAATGGTACCAGTTCTTTGAGTCCTTCCAAGTCTTGCACTGGGTTTCTGAGGTGGTTTTTTTTTTTATGGTGTTTCTCTCCACTTTGTTTTCAGTTTCAGAGTTCCTTGTAAATCTGCATTCCTGTTCGTGTTGGCATTTCAGATTTAACCGATATCCAGCCTTCTCTTTCCTGAAACTTCTTCCTGAGCGTTTGTGATCTTCTCTGTGCCAGGTGGCCTGGGGGATACTCAATTTAGCTTCCGCCTTCGTCAGTCAGGGGGACAGAGGAGCTCTCCTTATGAGGATGATGGCGAGTACAATAGAGAAGCGCCCCTGACGCTGCAGGTCAGTTGTGTTTCAGTGCGCTACGAACACCTGCAAAGCAAACAGTGGTGTGACTGGGTTAACAGCCAAATATGCTTGTGGGAGGTTTTCTGTGCATAAAATACTCATTTTCTGTGGCCATGGGAATAGTCAGAAAAGAAGAAAGCTTACAGCACAGGGACTTACTTCCGTGGGAATACTCACAGAGGGCTATGTTGAGAATCCCAGCTCCTCTGAGGGGTGAATTGGGGGGACCCCAGATCCAGTGGTCACGTCTAGCTACAGCGAAGAGACGAGCGGCGGCACACAGGTGATGTCCGACAGAGCGCCCGGCTATCTGTGCGTTACTGTGAGGCAAGACAAGAATAACCTTGGCTGTGGTAAATGAGACATTTGCCTCTTTTGTTGAGGGATGACGGTTCTTTGCGTTTGTTACAGGACCTAGGTATGTAAAAGCAACCGGAATAATTGGCGTACCACAGATCCACCCTCTGGCTTGCTCTGTGCGGGCTGGTTCAGCCAACCTCAAGCACTAATGAGGAGTGACCGTTAGCTGTGGCTTTTCCATCAGCGAGCTGTCCCTTTCACACAGAGAAGGGATGTGCTGAGCACCGTTGCTGCTTTTACTTGAGCAGATGGCCATCAGATCTGCTTTCTCCTTTGGGACGATGCTTCCTGTACATGTGCCTTTTTAACGCTTCTGCAATCTTTTTGTGATTATGCAGTCCATAAAGGGATTGCTGGTCTGAGAGGGAGTAGGAGGATTTCTTTTCCTAAAGTCTGGTCTAGAGATTTTTCAGCTTGCAGGCATCTTCCCTGCTTTGTAGCAATCGGACAGTGCCTCCCAGACTTGGGAAGTAAAACTGCCCAAGAGCTGAACTCTGTGATGGAAAAATAATATTTGGGAAGAAAAGGGTTATGTTAAACTGTGGGGCTTCAAAAAATTATGTTATGGATGGTCTTTGTGTTCAGCACCGATCACTGTCTTTCCGCCTTGATGCCTGTGGGAACTTGGAAGACATAATGTGTCTGAAATGATCGCTGGGGATTCCTGTTAAATCCATTCATTTTTCATGGATGCTGTGGAGGAAGCATCATCCAGCTTCGTGCTTCCTCCTGAGCAAAGTTTGACAGGTGGTGCCTTAAGCGCCTGATTGAAGAGGAGTGCAGCAGGTATGGCAGAGGGCATTTCCCCTCTCAGGAGATGGGGTGTTCCTTCACACCAGGGCAGCGAGTCCCCACCCCTGGAGGTGTTGAAAGGCGGTTGAGGTGTGGTGCTGCGGGAGGTGCTTTAGGGGTGAGCTGTGCAGAGCAGGGTTCGTGGTTGGACTCAGTGAGCCCAGGGGGCTTTTCCAGCCTGAATGGTTCTGTGATTCCTCAACAATACATCATCCTCTAGCTGGCAAAGAAAACGGACAGTTGAGCACCTCGGTGTGGAGTCAGGATGAGCTCAGAGGGTTGGCTCCGCGGGTAACCTCAGTTAACCCTTTAGATGGTGGCCCTGGAGGTGCTGCAGAAAGGCGCTGCTGAAAGGTGCTCCCTGGAGGCTGAGATTTTTTTGTGAGTCGAGCTGTCTGTATCTCCTCTCTGCCTTCCCACTTGGTAAACACTCCCGGGTAGCTGGGCACAGGGAACTGGGTAAACAGGAGGGAGCGCTGCAGCTGGGTGGCAGCGGGAGGGAGGTGTGTTGTTTGGCCGGTGCCTGGAGAGAGTTTGGCGCTAGCAGTGAGCGGTTTCTCAGTAACGGCGTTGTTGGTCTCTCTTCCAGCGGGAGGCGGCTCATTATTTTGGTTACGTGTACTTCAGGCAAGTCAAGGACAGCTCCATGAAGAGGGGTTATTTTCAGAAGGTGAGTCCTGAAACCAGATAGCTCGGCTGCTCTCGGCGGGTGCGTAGCTGTAAAAAGGCACCCTCCATAGCTGGAAAAGAGCACCGCTTCCTACGTGACTCCCACAGTGTTTCTGCAGGAAACGGCAAAGGTCATGGAGAGCAGGAATATATGGAAAGTGTAATTCCAGACAAACCTGGATGCAGTTGCCATGGTGTGTTAATCACGTGAGCGGTGACCTGCTGTCTGAATCCTGAGATCCTGAGGTACTCCAACATTTGCCTCAGTGTGTGCTCCAGCGTCACAGACAGTGAGAGGATATACTTCGCTATTGCTCGTTATACCTTAACCCTGCGCTTAGTATTGCTTTAATCTTTCTTCTTCCTAGTAGCCATCTGGGAATGGATTTCCTGCTGGGCTGATTGCATCTCCCTAGCAGCAGTGACACTGCTGGTACCTCACCAGCCTTGTCTCTTACCATAAATTCCTTTCACACAGACACTGGAATACAAACTGCGTGTTTATTTCCGCATAAGTATGCAAAGTGCTTCATATTATTCAGGCAGATAGTTATGGGCCCTGTCTGAACGTGGCATTGCAGACTTCTAGAGAAGGAAAATATTTGACTTTGATCCTAAGATCCATTTTTCTCCACGGGTCCATGGAATTCCTCCTTCAGGAGTGTTTTTTCCCATCAAAAGATAAAATGCCATCCTCTCAACGAATGGCCTTTGAACACCTGCTCTTCAAAGAGCAACGCTTCATCGTAGATCCCTCTGGTAACTTGTGGAAGATGGGGACACGGTTCTGCCTTTTCTCTCCTCCGCCTCTAAGCAGTGACGTGGAGTTTCTGTCAAAGAGACTTGCTAACACAGAAAGGATTTTCTTCATCTCCACTGAAGCAGTGGATTGACGATGTGAAAAGTTGGAGGATTAGAGAAACTGGGCAACGTGGGGGCCTGATGGGCAGAGATTTATACCAGGCTAATGTCCTTCCTCTTTGGTAGACCCACAGAAGTTGTGGATACACTGAATTCCTCAGTGAAGTGTGTTGTCACACCTGGGTGGTGTTTTTTTTATTTGAAATGGCATAATACTGGGTTGGAAAGGAGATGTTTAAGGGACTATTGCAGAAATTTTCACTGGATCCTAATTAGTGTATTCACTCCTGATTAGAGGAAGAGAATAATCAGCATAGTAATGAAAACTCCCAGGGGGACTGAATTGAAAAACTTGTAAAAAAACAGTGATATGTTTCACAAAGAAGCATTAGAAAGAAGTCAAAACACTACAAAAAAAAAAGACGTTGCTGGAAACAAATCAGCAATATTTCAAGTTAGTTCGTTCTTCCCTGGGATGGCTTTAGTTTGTTTATCTACCTAATTTCAGTTTCAGTGGTCTGCTCCTTCGCGCTTCTCTGGAATGGTTGTTTAGGTAGCTTTGAACCTATCAGCCATTTATTTTGATTTTTACTGTAGCTGATCTTTTGCCAGGGCATGATCTCATCCCTCCTAGTTGCGGTGACTCCTTGGTAGAAGCTGCCAGCTGTGCTTATTCATTAAAAAACAACAAAAAAAAAGTCCTTGCCTGTGTGGATACCCAGGGTCTCCCAAAGCCTGACGGCTCAACAACCGGGTAGCTAGCAAGGGTTCCACCAGTCAAAGTGCTGCTTTTGAGCTCCTTCGTGGTTTCGGTGTTGATTTTGAAGTGTAGCCTTTTAGTAGTCAGTGTGAGTATAAGCAGTGCTAGAAATGATTGTGTTGGGGGGTCTCTGACTCCTAAATCGACCTTTTTTCAGTCCTTGGTGCTGGTGTCACGCCTTCCGTACGTGAACTTGTTCCAGTCCTTGCTGCAGCTGATTGCTCCGGAATACTTCGACAAGCTGGAGCCGTGCCTGGAGGCAGGTGAGCAGTCGGATCTGGGGGGGCAGGTACGCACAGGGAAACCTGTCAGAGTTTTTATCAGAAACTTCTTGAAAGGCAGCTGAAGTGTTCCAGATTAGTTCATTCTGGAACAAATTCCAGCAGGGAAAAACTTTTGATCCAGGTGGTTGGCTTGTCAAAATTCTAAAGGGCTTCTAAAGGAGGCATGAATGGGAAACGTCTGACAGCCTTAATAGGCGATGCTGTCAGTTTTGCGTACGTTGTATTCCCAGAGAAAGGGAAAAACTGCTCATGCTGCATCTCTGTCTGCGTCTTTACTGCACTATTCGACTTAGTCGTGATTTATTGCCAGCGGGGTGCTGCTGGGCCTTCACTGGCAGTGGTGGTGCAGACCTAAGTCTGGTGCCTGACCTAAACTTGCACAATTATTTGATACAGTGCTGGTTTGCCACTATCCCGGGGGCCACGTGAACTAGGAGTGAGTGATAATTAAATTGGCAGAACTTGCAGGCCTGGCTGAATTAGCTGTCTTGACCTTCAGACTAAACCTATTTCTTTACCCGTGTTCCTGCAGTGTGCAACGAGATCGATCAGTGGCCGCCTCCTGTGCCGGGACAGTCTCTGAACCTTCCGGTGATGGGAGTTGTCATTCAGGTACTTGTTGCTGGTGATCTGTACTTGGCAGCAGACTGAGGCAGACGGGGAAGTGGAACACCTCTTCGCTTTTCTTTTGGATGTTCAAATTGCTCTTCAATCTAGATTCCTTCCCTTCGGTCCTAACCCCTGGGCAGTTAGAATTCGTAACTGCAGCTTTCTCACGCGGGTGGTTATTAGAGAAGAAAGCAGAGTGAGTGTGCTTGCTAACTGGTTCTGTCTCCCTGGGTAACCTGTTGTTTTGTTGGTTTTTGGTGTTTTTGGTAATCTAGGTGAGAATCCCATCAAGGGTGGACAAGCCAGGATCAAGCCCGGTGAAGCAGTTCAATCAGGAGGTGAGATGAGGAAGTGTCGCGTGACACAGGCCAGGGATGAGCAGAGTCTAGGCTGCTCAGGAAGGAGGGTGGAGAAGAACTGGAACTCCTTCAGCCTTTTCCTCTCTTGAAACCACTTTGGCTTGAGATTGATTCAGTTTAAACTACCCCTCTGGTTCAAACAGCACGCTCCCTTCTCTTGCCCCTGCCTTTCGAAACAGAATTCTGCTTAAAACTTGTGCTTCAAGTTGCGTATGTGTGTTGTTCTCACAGGTTTTGGTCGTCTTGCCTTTCCTGTGTCTCCAGAGTACCCTACCTTGGTTTTCTCTGTTGTGTTGCAGCATTTGCTGTACGAGCTTCTCTGCTGCTTTTGTTCAGCTTTGGTTTTGATTCTTGCTATTTTGACTTTTTTTCTCTTTTTCTCTCCTTTGAATAATGCTGTCATATTTCACAGCTCTCGGTACTTGTTGTCCCTTTCTACACAGAAAGTCTTTCATATCAGGAAAAGAAGGGATTCTTGGCTATCTTCTAGCAAAGGAAATTCATTTGGACCTTGAGTGCTCAGTCCAGATATGTTCCTTATGTCTAAACATATGTCCATATGTCTAAGCATTAATCTCCTTCTCTTCTTTTTGTGCTTATTGTAGAGGGAGCTACTTTGTGGTTGGTTTAAAATCATAGAATCCTGGAATGTCTTAGGTTAGAAGGGACCTCAGAGACCACCCAGTCCACCCCCTGCCACGGGCAGGGACGCCCTGAACCAGCCCAGGTTGCTCACGGCCTCATCCAACCTGGCCTTGAACATCTCCAGGCAGGGGGGAGGCACAGCCTCTCTGGGCAAATGGCATAAGATGGCATTTCAGTCAGGATGCTTCTATTTGCTAACAGGTTTGGGGTTGTTTGATTTACCATTTTTTTTCTTCCTCATTTAGAATTTGTTACCAGCCCCACTGGTTCTCCCCAGTATTCACGAACTGGATCTTTTCAGGTGAGAGCCACCATCCCTGCAACCTTGTCCTTTCCATCTGCTTTTCCTGTTCATAATATCCTGCAAACCATAGATCCAATGAAGATGTCAAGTGAGGATTCAAAAACTCTGCTACTTTGCAGACTGTCATTTAGAACCCAGGGCTCACAGGGCTCGTGCAACATTTTAAGCTGTGTGCGCCCTGGGAGTGTGCACGTAGTGTGTCTGAACCAAACCTTTCGGCGTTCCGGGCGCTGTTCTTATAGACGTGTGTCTGCTGTAATCCACGTGTGGTTTGCTTTGCTTAGGTGAAAAGGCATGCTGAGAGCGGTCCAGTCTGCGGGTTGCCTTACGTTGCTTAAAGCACGTCCTCTCAACACGCATAAAATAGTTGAGCAACAGCGTGTGTAAAGACCCGTGGCATTCTGTTACGGCACGCTAAAAAATCAGTCCTAGGTTTCACGTCCTCAGATAGAGGCGCGTGTGGTTGTGCTTATGTGCAGTAGTTGTGCCTGGTCTTTTCCAAACCACATGTCTAACTTCGTTCATCCTTGCTTGAACAGGTGTTTCCAGCCAGTGCTAATCCATATCCAGATGTTGTGGGAGCTGGTGTTACTGGGAGAGCCAATTGTTGTCATGGCACCATCCCCTACAGTCTCTTCAGAAATGGTTCTGGCGCTTACCAGGTAATGGCCTCAGATTCCCAGGTACAGGTCACCACACTAATGAATTCCAACAGTTTTTCAGATCTACTCTTCTGCCGGGTCAGTTGTGTTAGATTTAGTTTGCCTGTGAAAGCGTGTAAGGCAAACAGGATAGCAAGAGAGTCTTGCTCTTATGTCACCAGTGATGGAGGAGAGTAGAAGTGAATCTCCTGTGTTGGGACACCTGATGCTTCACAGCCCTGAGGAACTTGGTCTCTCCATCTTTGAACTCTGCTTTAGGGAAAAATAAAGCCTGGAACTCCTCCAGAGCAGGACAAAATGCTGCTCTAGGATGTAAACTTGGTATGAAGACAAAAACTGTGAAGTTTATGTGGCAACTGTTGCGTCTGTTGTTACAGCTGCCTTGCTCCTCTGCGGTACTGCTGTGACTACCGGCCCTATTTTACCATCCACGACAGTGAATTTAAGGAGTACACCACCAGGACACAAGCTCCGTAAGTAGTCAGTAGACCCTTGCTCTACCCACTTTCCACCATCTGCGTGAGGGAAACCCCGAGGTCAGCGTTGTTTTGCACTTTTTCCCCCCCCTCTTTCTAGGCCAAACATTGTTGTGGGAGTCACAAACCCTTTCTTTATCAAAACTCTCCAGCACTGGCCACACATTCTTCGGGTCGGGGAGCTCCGAATGTCAGGTAAGGGTGGAACCAAACTCCTGCTGTGCTGGAAGACCTTGTTAGAGGTGAGCAGGGAGCTGATTGCTGCACTTCCAGCCATTGTTTTACACATTGTTGTTCCTGTGAGAGCTGAGAAACCAAAAGGAAGCCTGGGCTCTGGCTCAGCCGATGTGCAGGATGAGCACAAACAGAGGGGAAGACAAATTGCTGAGAGGGTAACTTGCTGTGTTTTGCAGAAACGTTTAGAAAAGGAGAGGTCCTTCCTGGGCAGGAAAGAGAAAACTGAGTCGGGAAGGAGAGAGTGGTAGAGAGAATTGCTCTAATTATTGTCTAGGTGGAGGAGTGGGGATTTTTTGTGATGCCTCGTTAACGTATGCCTGTTGAAAAATTCTAGCAGGAAAGTGAGCAGATGACAAGGCTTACGTGAGGGTGGGGTCAGGGGAGTGATTTGAGAAGGACAAGTGTAGGACTGAATGTTCTCAAGTGGGAGGTCTCTCAAGCGCGTGCTGGGGCTGTGAGTGTGAATTCAGGGCCTGAACGAGGCACTTGATGTCTTTCTGCAGGAGACCTGCCCAAACAAGTTAAAGTGAAGAAGCTAGCTAAACTAAAAACTCTAGACACAAAACCAGGTAAGTCTTCTTGTCAGATACCATTTGATTTTGTTTACCCTTCCACACAGATGGATTTGGCAGGCGTGGCTGTTGCCTGCATTATTCCTTGCACCTGAACAAATGGACGTTTTGGTGTTACCGTCTTCTCGCACCTGATCTGCTCCACAGTAGTGACATCCCCCGTCTCGTACGGAAGGACTGCGCCCTTCGTTCTGAGATTGGAAAAGCCAAAATAAATTAATTGGACAAATTATTTCAGTGTTGGGAGAACAATGTCTAATCCTCTTGGGTTTATTTTCTGTGTCATACCTGCATCTAAGAAGATGCAAGGGAGAGGAACTTGCTCACCCAGGTAGAGCTGTCGCCTCGCGCACGATTCACTTCAGGCCTAGCCATAAGCTGTCTCCAGGAAGTTATCGCACCATAAACTTGACGTAAGAAGGTCCTTGAGGTAGTTCAGTGTCCTTTAAGCCCACTGAGAGTACTGGCTGCATTAGCGATTTTGTAATTTCCTAATTACTTTTTAATATTTTTTTTTTTTAATTACCCACACGCACAGAGCTGCCGGGGTTTGTGCTAGGAATTTCAGTTCTGTTATCCCTGCACTGTATAATAGCAGCTCCTCTAGATATGAGGGCAAAGATTTGTTGTTTCCAGCTTCTATTTTTAATTTTTTCTTTCTCAATCTAGGAATCTATACTTCCTATAAAACATTCCTTCACAAAGACAAAACCTTGATAAAAAGATTACTAAAGGTAAGCAGTTGCCACTCTGCCCTGCATCCTGTATGTCGCTGGGGGAAAACTGTGCTAACAGCTTGCTTTAAAGAGACGAAACCCTCCAAAAAGAACAGCCTCTTCATGGTGTGTAATAATTTAGTCAGATATACTGGGACGTGTTCATCATGCCAGTTTTAAAATCTTCCACTTGGGATTCTGGATTAAATGCTGGTGCTAATGATAAGCTAATAGAGAACAATCCTTACCTAAAAAAAAGTCCAAAAAAACCAGATTCTACGTGCTGAAACGTGAGTGCTCTGTTTAACCAGGGAGGAGAATGTGAATTTGGGGTGGTTCGCTTTTGCTCCGAGCTGGCCGCTTCTAGCTGCGGCCGTTGCAAATTGCACGTCTGTCTGCGTGAGAGAGGAGACCCCTCTGTGAACGCTGCTTGTGCTTGCAGGGGATTCAGCGGAAACGCCCGTCGGAAGTCCAGAGCGCCCTTCTGAGGCGTCACCTCCTGGAGCTCACCCAGAGCTTCATTATTCCTCTGGTGAGTTGAGCAGAGACTTGTTGGAGTGGTGGAAAGGTGAGGGGAGTAAACAGGAGATGCTCGAGTGACGCGTTGGCGCTTGCCCTCTTTGATTCACCCGCACCTGAGCGTCTCTAACAGGTTCAGGACGTGGCACCCTGCAGGCGGGTTTTACTCCACGGAAAGGAACTAAATGTCTCTTGAATGCAAATTTCAGTTACTAGCATGGAAGTCTGCAGGTTGAATGTTCAGCACACGGTGTGTAAAGACGGAATGTTGATTGTTTCCCACGATGTAGGAAATAAGTGTTCCCAGTTACTCGATTCTGATGCCAACTCTTTGCTCTTCTCAACGGGTAGTCAAAGCCGATACCTAGGGATGGGAGCCCAAAACATTCCTCTTCCCTTCTAACGCTGCAATCAAACCCGTGGTCAGCCTGAAACCCTCCCCTCTGGCCCTGGGGAGCTTTGCTACAGAGCTTGAGGCCTGTCCACGTGGTGATCACCACCCCACAGCAGATTTTAGCTTTCTCTCAAGACCTTCCCCATTTAGCCCTGCTAGAAAACCGCTGGCGCTGTTTTGGGGGCTGTCCAGCTGGCCTAGATGGGCTCCTCCGCTTTCTTTTCTACATCACCCTAGGGGCTGCTACGAGGGAGGACAGAGCGTCTCCTCACATTCTGGTCCCTCCTGCCAGCTGCCTCCCACCCGACCTTTTCTGACACGACACTCTTGGGGTTCTTGCAGCACAGTTCTGTGACCTGATCCCTGGTGGGGAACCAGCTTAGGCTCGTGTTCAATGCGGCGATGAATCAAGAAGCAGAGGGAATATGAGGCTGTCGATTGGGCCGTGGTGCGTTGGACAAGACCGTCAAACTCCGTGACCATGCAACGGGTTCCTTGATTGTCGTAATGTTTTTTTAATTATTATTTTATTTTTTGCTTTTTATTTCTTCTTAGGAGCATTATATTGCAAGTCTGATGCCTCTGCAGAGGGCCATTACACCATGGAAGGTATGTTCCCAATTTTTGGCTTTCCTTTGACTGGGGGGATTGGGATGCCATGTGCTGATCACATACTCTGATTCTCTGCATGAACTTCCTGCATTAAAGGAAGAGATTATTACTCCTTTTTTTTTAAAAAAAAAAAAAAAGTTGAAACGTTGGGACAGATGCTTCCTGTTTTGCAGTAAGCTCGGCTATTGTGAGTCTAATTTGAGTTTTACCAGCAAGGCTGGTTAAGATGCTCACGCCTTTCTTGTTCTTGTGGTTGCTGGGTCTGCCTTGTGCCACGGAAGGTTGTTGTAAATACAAAGCTCATTTTTAGCCCCAGTTTCTTTCAGGTGCTATGTAATATGGCCTTTCCGTTGTGCAGAATCCTCCCCAGATTCGGCCTTTCCGACAGGAAGATTTCATGAAGACCCTGGAGCATGCCGGTCCCCAGCTCACCTGTGTCCTGAAGGGCGACTGGCTGGGCCTCTACAGGTAAGAGGTTGGTAACTCCTCGCCTCATCCCCCACACAGCTTGTGCGAGTTGTAACAGCAAATCCTGAATCCGAATTGGGAGTGAAGAGGAGAGGTTTGGGACAGAGACTGGTCACCTGAAAACCTCATGCCTACAAAGAGCTGATGAACTAATAACGGTCAGGAAGAGCAAAGACGGTGCAGAATCACTCCCGTGTTTTCCGTAGTCTCTTAAACAAGTAGATACAATTGGGTTTAGAAGCCATCAACTCCCCACCTTCAAAAACTCAAGTCCTTGCTGCTGGGGAGGAAGGGACCGGAGCTCTGACATCAGCTGTGGCACTTCTTGCCCTCCAGGGAATCTCTTTCTTTCTGAAGCGTCTGATCCTGGTCAGAAGGGGTGTAAAGCCTTGTAGGTCTTCCTCCAGTCATGGCCGTAGGTGTGCGTGCTCAGGCCAACGGCGTTGCCTCTTCACCGCAGGGCTGCAGTGCTCGGAGAGCATGGAAGCACGTGGCTTCTTTAGGGAATTTAAGAGAGCATGCGGGAGAGTTTGTAGCATGCAGGAGAGTTTGCCCATAGTTTTTATAAAGGATAGTTAGATATAAATGGGATGGAGAAGATGCACGTCACAATAGGAGTAGGAAAACCCCAGAAATTGGATACCCAGGGGGAAGGAAAATGGGAAGTGAGTAGGTAAGGAGAGGGGATAAGATTCTAGAAAGTGAGCAGAGATGATAATCATAGTTTAGGAAGTTTTGTTGCTGCAATGAAGTTTGTAGCATTTTGTGCTTTTTCAGCAGAAAATGGGTGGCTCTGCTATTACGGTGTGGGTGCCGTAGGCAGATTTATTTTTGGTTATCTAATATTTTGAAAAATAGCAGCAAACAAACTGTTTCAATAAATCGATTGAGGTTTGCAGGCAACCGATGTGGGTGCAGAAGTGTTGCACGTTCCAGGCTTCTTAACTTTGGGTGACTTTGTGCATAGACTGTTTCCTGTGTTCCTCAGTCAAACCCTAATTAAAAAATAAGCCTGTCTGTGTCACAGTGGCGTCCTGAGATCGTGGTTGGGTTTAGGGCTCCACTGCGCCGGGCAGGGAGCACGGGCAAGGATCCTTGAAGCTGCAGAAGGAAACTGTCTGAACATCAGCCGAGTTCTGCTGGCCAAGTGCTCTCTGCAGGCAGCCCAAGGAAGTAGCTTGAAGAGATACGGAGCGTGTGGCTCCTGATGGAGGGAAATGCTGAAACATGGAGGGAAATGCTGAAACAGGGCATTGGTGATATCCTCGCTGCCGGTGGGAGAGGTGCAGGGAGCTTGCTGCCGACGTGGCTGTCACTGCGCTCTGTGTGGCATCCGGAACTTCCTCGCCTTTTTCTTTCTCTGCCGCCACAACCCTTGTCTTTCCGTCGTGGCTTTCTAATCCCATTTTGAATTTGAGTGGAAGTCCTGTGACACTGAGAGAAAAACAGGTATTGTGCTGCCCCCCTGCTCATTTTCTTGGGTAGCTCAGTAAAAACGGAGGTTTACTACTGCGCTGTGCTGGGGAGGTGTGAATGACAAAGATGATACCTCGTTTACACAGGGTCACTGTAAATCACCAGTTCTGTGGGACTTCCATCCATGCTAGCAAGCAGTCCAAAACTTTAAATATCGGGAAAGGAGAGAAATTAAGCAAGATACTGCAGAGGACTGTGAATTTCTTCCCTTGTTGAACCATCCCAGTTACCATAACCCCAAAGGAAAAGGGGGCCAAAATCAGGCTCCAGAAGTACAGAGGGGCAAAGAGCACCACGGGAGCTGGCACGCAGGAAGGCAGCAGGACAGCCCCTCGTGTCAGTGACAAACCTGCTAAATTTATGCCTGATGGGAGAGGGGCCTCTGGAGCTGACAAAATATGAAAAGAGCACGTTGACTCCCAGTCAGTTACTGCCCTTAACGTCACCCTGAATCAGAACATCTTTTCCTCTCGCGGCGGAAGGGGAACCTGCGTGTGGCGGAGCCAGCATGCTGCGCCGGGTCCCCCTCTGTCCCCTTCTCACTGTCACCTCTCTTTCTGCAGGCGTTTCTTCAGGTCTCCCAACTTTGATGGCTGGTACCGCCAGAGGCACAAGGAAATGACGCAGAAGCTGGAGGCCCTTCACTTGGAGGCGATTTGTGAAGCGGTACGTTCCAGCTCTGGGTGTTCAAACCACCACCGGGCTTCCCAGGCCTCCGAAGCCCGGGAGATGAGGGCGCTGCTGCCTGGGACACTGATCAACGCGTCCCGGCTCTGCACTGATGGAGGGGGAACAGTGTCTCCTCTGCCTCGGGTCTGGCTGTGCACAGGAGTGGCAGCACGTGTCAGGGGCAAGAACACGAGCAGCTCAGCTTGCCCTGCTTTGTTAGCCCGTGCAGGTCCTGCTCTGCCTGCTTCTGTTGACTATTTCTCATCCATCAGGCCCTTGCCAAGGCAGCAGAGTGCCAGGCTGGAAGTGTCCTCTGTTGCTGGCTTCCTTAGCCCCAATCAAACAGGTAGGATTTTCAGTTGGGACTGCTGGTACAATTCCTTAAACTGAGTGGCTGCCAGTGTAGTCCCAGGATCTTTGACTTCTTGCCCGGGTGCATCTTCAGCTACAGCACTTGCTTCACCGTTCGGCTGTGCAGGTCCTTGAGCCTGCTCTGGGGAATGCCAAAGCTCTTCTCCTTTTTTAACAGGCCTGACTCTGGCAAATAGATTTAAATTCTGAGCGCAGCACAGGGCTCACGGTGCTGACTGGAGGAGAGGAGCCCTGCACTGGCTGCATATTACGGCATCTCCCCTTGACTCTTCTCTTGCAGGCAAGAGCTTGATGCTGTCGTGGGCAGAAAAGTGGGGAGAGCGATGTCTTGCTCATTTAGGCTTGAGTGCTGCGAGCACGGTTCTGAAAGAGGATGAGGAAACCTCCTCCTCACTTTTATTTCAGGCTTTGCTTTAGGGGTATCTCTTTGAGAAAAGCTTCTGTGAAGGAGAAATGTCCCTGAAGAAAGCTGTTCTCTCTCTTTAGAACATCGTGGCCTGGATGAAGGACAAGTCCGAAGTGGAGATTGTAGACCTGGTGCTAAAACTTCGTGAGAAGCTGGTAAGCTTTCCTCCCTTCTCCCTGCCCTCGTTTTTATCTGTTGGTATCTCCGTGGCAGGGAGAGACCAAGGACAGGGATCACGCTTGCTGATAACTTGTCGTGTTGATTAGGGTTAGGATAATCCTTGCTTAGAAAACTTTGTTCTCGCTACCTGATTTGGAGAGCTGGCAAGTGGGACAGCCCTGAAACTTTTAGTGTTTGGGTAGAAAAGGATTCAAATTCTGAGTCTTCTCGTCTCCCTGGGGCTCAGGTGACGGTTTCCTCTCTGTTGTCTTGTGCCCTGAACTAAAGGACAGTGTGAAGTTCACTCAGTCAAAGGCAAAGCAGGAAGAGGAGCTGTTTTAAAATTCCTCTCTCTCCCTGTAGGTAAGAGCCAGGTGCCAGCACCTCCCTGTGAAGGAGGAAACGCTGCAGCGAGTGGGCCTGTACATTGAGACCATCATTGGCTCCTTGCCCGAGGACCTCCAGGCTGTGCTGCACCACCACTGAGCTGGGGGAAGGGGCTGTCCTGGAGGAGGAAGGGCTCTCCCACCCCGCTCTGCGTTTGGAAAGGAAACTTCTTCCCTGACCCACCCAGCGTGACCTGATCTGGACCTTGCTCACAGCTGCGCGTCACCTTGAGCGTGTGGGTCAGAACCGTAGCGGTGAAGGGGGAAGCTGTGTGCACCGTTCTTTGTCCGGTCCTGCTTCCAGGAGCTGGATTAAGGGGGCTCTAAATGAGAAACTGTTCCCCGTGTGGCTGTTAGCAGGGCACGAAGTGACAGCCAGGCTTCCAGCAGCAGCTGACAGGCTGGGCAAAACCCGTCTCGCCCATCTATCCCCGTCCAGCCATGTCTAGCGCTTGGGCTCTCGAAATTTCAGTGCCCTCATCCTGCCTGGAAGAAGCAGGACCAGCCCTGGAGGGGGCAGTTGTTTTCGGGACAGCGGCTGATAATGAGACAGATGCTGGTCTCCCGCGTACAAATGGTGTGAAAAAACCATCACTGTCCATTCAGCAGCCTGACTCGTGCCAGCAGGGGCTTCAGCTGGGATGGGAGTGGGAGGATGAGTTGCTGACGTGGAATGCTGCTGGTTTTTCTCCAAGGCAAAGACAGCGAGGAAGGGGCTGGTGCATCTGCAAGGACCGGAGCTCTCCCAAGATCGTGGTGGAGTGCTCTGTGGATGGCAGTAGCTACTGGAGCTCCACAGAGAGGAGCTGGCCTCCAAGTGTAATTTATTCTGCTTGAAAAGTCAAGTTTGTGTGCTCTAATAATATAGAAGAGACCTGGAACGCTGCCTGGGGCAATGAGATACTTAATGTGGTCAGCCCACTTGCCGATAAACCATGGAGAATTTGATTCTTACAGCTGGAGAGAGCTCACAGGGTGGGGTGTGTGGGGGGCGCGTGCTCAGTCCAGCTCTCACCACAGCTTGTTCTTACCGCAACCCAGCCTTCAGCTCCGTCCTGCTGCTGCCATTCCCCTTCTGGGAAAGAGACGTGTGTGTGTGTGTGTGTGTGTGTGTGTGCTTCTGGGCTGAATGTAGGAAAAAGTCAAGGCTCTGGCTTTGGAGACAGTTGCCCTGTGCCTGCAGGAGCAGCTTTTCTCCCAGCTGCCTTGGAAGGGGATTTACCGTAACCCCGGATGAATTGCTGCTGCTGTCACTGCATGTCACCATCTGCCAGCCTGGCCAGGGCCCGAAGGTTTAGGAGTGGCGTTTAGGATGGCTCTGCCAGCCTGACGTGCTCTGGTTCTGTAAGAAGCCCTGGAGTTTCCCTCTGCACATGGCAAGAGAGTTGGACATTTCAGCCGGGCCCCGCACAAAGCCCTCGGCAGCGCCCAGCACTCGCGGAGTGATAGCTGGGCCGGCTCACTGGCACTTTGTGCCTGATGCTGGGCAGATACCAGTGAGCCCCTGAGATGGCTGAACCCTTCCTGCAATTTCCCTCCAGAGCCA